GTATGCGAACCATATCCTCACGTTTCACTCCTGTTCTCTTGGCTACCTGACATTTTAAATGATTGTAGTCAGGTCAAATATTCTTTGATCTTTTGAGGCCTGTGTCCACGATGCTAGAACTTGGCCCTAGTTCTAGTTTCGAGAAATGTATAGCCCAACAACTTGTAGCTATTCCATAAAAGCTGGCCTTTACCAATGGCACAACGGGGCACGTGAGATTAATAATTGTTACATCGCCAAAGGCAGTTACAATCACAACTGAAACGTCCAATTGTATTTGCTAGGTTTGTTAAATGATTGACCTGCGTTTCTGACTCCCGGCGCCTTTCCCATAGATAAATTTCGTTTTCTATACCTTGAATGTTTCCGGATCCACTTGCCACAGACATATTTGTCCATCGTAACATCCTGTCACCAGTGTCTTCTGGTCCCGGGACAGGTAGACGCAGGAAATACAGTGGGTCGGCGCTATGCGTCCCCACAGCACTATGGGCACCACCAGGCTGGTGCCTGCTGTCATCTTCGCAGACAATCTGGAAACAATTAATAATGCAACCAACGAAATCTTGACGTAATTTCGTTACCGTGTCGCTCGGCGCTAACAGTTCTCCTTCGTTGATCGACGCGCGCCTCGACGCGACCCGGGGAACAAAACACCCGGTTGAAAGGGGAAGAGAGCCAGCTCGCAGAGTCAAATGCCAGAGTGATTGATCGTTTCGACGCGATTCGAAGCACTGTCAGTCGTATATCTCCGCGTGCCGTCAATCAGAAAAAATGTTGAGAGCGCGAGAGATAATTCCCGGCGGTGAATTAGATTCCGGGAAACTGAAATATACAGTCGCGACGTTATCGCGATGGTATCGCGAGTGGGAGATAAACCGCGCAGTAAAGTGACAGGCCGAGCGATCGCGGCTCACCGACGCGCCGAGGGCGCGCGAATCCGCGGGGAGGCGTGTCGGGCTGACGGAGGCACGTTCAGGTTGACGAAATCACTCAGGATCGTCGCGAGGGGGGCTGATTGAGAGCAATTAAAGGCGTCTGCTACATCATGTTGGCAAAATGTCACACGGACGATCAAGGCTGCGGGGCGCCGTCGCGCCGCTACCGCGAGCGGAGCAGAGCGTGTTCGCGGCGCTGACAACGGTCGCGCGGGCGCGAAAACCGCGGAGAATAATTACCGCGAGTCGACGGAGCACCGCTGACGATCGGCCGGGACGTCGCAGTTGGCCGACACCTGCCGAAAATCCACCCGGATCCCTCACTGCGCTCCCGCGACCATCGCTGTCGCGCTGCCGTGGACGATATTGGACAGTGCGGGCGAGACAGCGATCAGCTGTTCCGCCGCGAAAGTCCCTAGAAATCGATCGCGCGCAGAATTCGACGCGGGGTGCTTTCGCGACGTAGATCAAAATGATCCGGATCAAAATGATCCGTGCTGTGATTGGTCAAATCTGAAATTTCGTAGCATCACATTGAAATTTTATTCAATGAAATTCCAGATTTGACCAATCATAGCACGGATCATTATGATCGGATCATTTTGATCTACGTCGCGAAAGCACCCCTGAAGGCCATATAACCTCTATTATTATTTACATTAGATTGAGACTAATGCCATTCTAAAATGTTCCTTAAGTAAAAGTTCGTCATATAATGGGACTATTTGTTCATAATAATTTAAATTTCATTTTTCTGACGCACACCACGTTCTTCTATATGAAGGTTATTTGGTAATTGTTCTTCAAATTCTTCAATTACAAATTTTATTACATTATTTCTCTCTACAATATCATCATCTAATAATATTATATTATTTATATCCATGATATCACTTTCACTACACTTAT